TGGGACCCTAGAGAAGGACGCTCCAACTACTCCACCTTCACACGCCTCGCTTAGAGGCGCCATTGCCACCTCCAATGCAACCTGCAGACAGCCTGCTCCGCCCCATCCGGCCCTGACCCACCGTAGTTGGCTTACCTGTTGGCTCAGCGAACTTCAGCTCCGAACCAAACCCGTACTGACCCTTCCTCGTGCTCTGATTGCTCCCTCTCTCACTGCATCCGGTTCTCGGGTGAAACCCTTCTCTCCTAAGCCTCTCTTGGGAAAGGGAAAGTGAGCTGAGCCCCCTGCCCCTTTTATTTATTCCTGGCATTCCTTAAGCCAGCTCAGATGATAAAGAAAGGGACACAATGCATCTCTTCGCTGTAGGACACCAGGCCAACTGGCAGGCAGGCAGAGAACCCAGGAGAGAAGACCCCACCCCAAGTAGCCCGAATGACAAACCGGTTTCCCCACTTCCTGGTCTACCCAGTCACAGCCTTAATCTGGGCTCTCCCACTTTCCTGCCCGCCCCCAGGCCTACCTCTGAGCAAACCACATGCCCAGCTAGGGCCAAGGTCCCAAATACCCCTCAGAGATCAATGTCCAGTTGCAGTAACCCAGGTGGCAGGGCTAGGGCTGGAGGAGGAGGGGGCCTTTCCCAACTCCTGCCAGACAATTCAGGAGGGCAGCCAAGAGCTGTGACACTGACACATGGTCTGGGCACACGACCCCAGCAGTTGGGCACCCTGACTTCTCTCCTCCTGGGCCAGCTGCCTCTCCCTCTGCCAACTGGATGGTGCCCATCTTTTGGCCTCTGAGAGTGCCGTGGGCACCTGTCCAGCTCCCTCCCTGGCTGTCTGCCCAGGATGGGCACGGGAGGCAGCAGGCCCTGTGCAGGGGAGGGTCAGACTGGTAGAGTAGCTTCCTCTCAGTGGCAAGACACTACCTCCCAAGCCTCCTAGAGCTCAGAGTGTGGGTACATAATGCTGTCCATTCAGGCCCCCCATTTAGCTGCTGCACAGGACTCCTCTGCCTTTTGCCTCCCCCAACTCAGATTTCTAACCCCCAGGGACACAATTTCTTCCTGTTCCCAATTTTTGCCCACCTAAGGAGAAGAGAATCTGCAGGTGCTTTACCTGTGATGTCTAATTTAGCTTTTTCACCAACCCTATAGAAGTGACAACTTTCATTCCCATATCACAGTAAAGGAATTGAGGCTCAGAGAAGGATAGCCAATCGCCTTGCCTCCTACACAGACATCTCCTAGCCCCATGGGTAGAAGCAGGGACCAGCCAGGCACACCAAGTCTCATAACCATATGGTTGGTGGCAAGGAGCTGGGATCAGGAATGCATCTAAGAGTTAAAATAGGTACTTTATCAATAATGAGGACTTGGGCATTCTCCCCCAGATGACAATGGAAAATGAATGACATGGAGATTTTTTCACCCTTGCACTAGATGCCAAGAAGTCAATAGACAGGACCGAGTGGGACAGGTCCGTGCATCAGCCCCCAGGGATTGGAACAGTTCCAAAGGTGTCAGCAGGACAAAGCACTCATTTTCCCATTCCCTAAGAAGAGCTCCTTCAGGGAGTCCCCTGGGTGTCCCCCTGGAGGGGCTTAAATCCGATTCAATATTTCTTGTGAGGCTCAGTTTTTAATGATGAATCCTTCACATTTCTGGTCATCTCATAGCTATGAGCTCATTTGACTCTCTCCCCAACTCTCCAAAGATGTCTTATGGGACACACAAACACCTAGGACTGCTGGCCCCACATGTCCCATAGAGAAGTGAGAGGGAATGTGGCTTCTGAACTGGAGCAAAGATGCCAAGGTCTCCAGTTGAGCCAGAGTGGGGATGGCCTGGCGACCTCATCCTTCATGGACCCCACCGGGTCCCCTGCTCTGCTCCAGAGGAGGGGGAAGATAGGTGCACCTCCCCCTCCCATGAATGAGACCTCAGAACTTGGAAAGGCTCTTGGTGTAGGGAGAAGGCTGAAGATGCCACCTCCTGACCAAAGTGACAGTGAACCAGGAATGAATCTCCAGCCCAGAAATGAGGGTGGCTCCTGGAAGTTGGCACAGTGCCCATGCCAGTCAGCATGCCAGCTGCCTCCACCTGAGATGCTTCAGGTGCTGCACCTCCCCCTTCTCATTCCCCAACAGGTAACTTCCCTCTGGTCCTCCTCCCCTGTGACTCTGGCAGTTCTCCTCCGAAGGCAACAGCTGGCATGTCTGGGGATCTTAACCTTGCCCTTCTCGAACTCTCTAGTCCCCTTGCTTGTATCCAGGAGCCTGCAGGAGGGATGTATTGGGAATCACCCTAGAGGGGAGAATTCTCACCTTTTTTTTTTTCCTCCCAAGACACAGTAGAAGCAGGGATAGCACCTGGACAAGAAGAGGGGATTTGGGTGGGCAGAAGGATTCCCAAGGGAAGTGGGTACAGTGGCACATGCCGGGAATCTCAGCAACTTGGGAAGCTGAGGCAGGAGGATGACAAGTTCAAAGCCAGCCTCAGCAACTTAGCAATGTGTCAAGCAACTTAGTGAGAACCTGTCTCAAAATAAAAGAGAGCTGGAGATGTGGCTCAGTGGCTAAGAACCCCTGGGTTCAATCCCTGGTACCAAAAAAAGAAAAAAAAATTCCCAAGACTCTCTAGGGGAAGCCGCAGGGAGAAAGGTGATGTGCCCCCAGACTGCCCACTCTGACACCTTGAACTATTCCCCTCAGGATCCCCCCCAAGAAAGTCCCTTCAAGCTACACATACCATTTGTTTGGCCAGGGCATTCCCTGAGCCCCATGGAGCCATCCACACTATACTGAAGGTGGCCTGGGGCCTGGCCCTGTTCTGGGGAGCGTGTTGGACTTTGGGACAGAAGCCAGGCTCTACCTGGAGTTTCTTGGCCCCAGCCTACTGTCCAAGAGCCCCTAAACCTCTCTCTCACATTCCTTGTTCTCAGTTCCCACTCCCACTCCACAGGAGAGGAACAAGTGGCAGTAAATTTCAAAAG